GTGTCATCTTACCAAAAAAACATGATTTTATCCTTGAGCGCTATATAGTAATTATCCTTTACAAAACTTTTCAAGGTGAAACGACAATTATAATAAAGGGCTTGAATTTCGTTTAGTGCTGTAAACGCGAAAGAAGCGTAATCACAGCAGATAAGCGGGAATGTCATGTGCACCGTCTTCTCCATATGCTCCTAATATGGATTCAAGCAAACGTCCAAGCATTATTTGCCTGAGATATGCGAAAGATAACAAGTGTCGTCTGTCTCAGCCATGGCTTACGATCGAGTGTCAACGAACTTCATCGTTTCTAGAAAGTTTGAACAATCTTGATACTACCTTATCACGCAGCAAAACAACATTTTTATGTTCTGCAACTGAGCCAGAATACCTGAAGGACGAATATCTTCGATATATTTATGAAATGAGTTTCTTGCTGTTTGCAGACGTGCTGAGTCTTAAATAAACAAGCCACGTTCGTATTTTTTTTGATTATGGACAACTTGGTCAGGTAGCAATAATTCTCAGCTTCAACTGGATTTTGTTTACGACAGTATGACCATGTATGAACATAGAATCAAAAATCCAATGAAAATACAATCAATGGAAAAGCTTATGTGAATACAGCAAACATCAAGCAACTTTGAAAATTTCCTTTGGGAAGAAAGCCAACTGCTCCCATCCTAACGAATTATGTCGTACTGCCAAAATGTACCCAGAAAAATGGTTGAACGTGTCTTGTCAGTAGTCAAAGCCCTACATTGCATAGAAAACACCAAGTGGAGTAAACAAAAACTGATCCATGCGAGCAAAGTTGTTATACATAACTCAAGTAACGTGCAAGCTGCGTTTGGCAACAAGGTCTTTGCTGTTAAGATCCATGTCACGTTTGTTGTGCATAATCATATATGAACGTTTGGGTTCGTTTTGGAAAATCAGGGCTCAACTCTCTAATTGTAATCAATGATTCTTGTGCGTATGAAATTTTTAAGACAAAGTCAGCGTCTTTCTCTGGATCACCTTCGAGCAAAGGCAGATGATCCGTTTGCTCCATCCAGGTAGAAAAGTCATTCTTCAATATTCTCGGCTCACATCACACCACTACTCTGCCACTCAATGTCATTTACTTATGAATTCCAAGTGCGTCCGCAATTTGCCGTTGTGCTGTTCATATTCGTTTCCATGGCGTCCTCTGTGATTATGACAATTGCATCAGAGCTCCCAAGCAACACATCCTCTCCAGCGGATGAAGACACGGAGCTGAGGTCGAAAAGGTACCATCTGGATGAGGTTATAAGTAAGCTCACATCCGACCGGCTCGAATTCGTTCAAATACCCGCTACCTACTTGAAATTCGTCCGAGACAAAACGAAAGCCCTCGAAGAATATTACGACTTTCTCAAATTGGATGCCAGCACTGAAGA